GGATTATTATTGGGATTGTCCAAACTACAGCAAGGATTGAAACACAAAAGGCTAAGCCTGGCAACTCACTTACACCTGGCAAATGTAAGTTTGCCAAACCGTGGATGCTGGCTGTCAACCGCGGACAGGGGCCTCCAGCCCCTGCTGAATCGGCAGCCCCACCAGCTGCGGCGGCATCTGCTTCCGACGCGCCACCACCTGCGGCGGCGCCTGCATCCGAGGCACCAGCCGCCAAACAAGTCGCGCGGCTACGAGCTCCGAAGCCTGGCTTTAGAGCCGGACCGACTGCAGGCGCCAGCAGCCACGACATTACAGTTGGCAGGCGTGCTGCTGAGCCGACAGCGGGGCAACCTGGGCGACCACATACGACTACTACAAATATTGGCCAGACAAGGGCGACAACAGGGAGGTGATCCACCTCCACCGCCACGTGCGGGTGGCCTTGCTGCTCGTCCAAGGGTTCCAGACTGATCAAGGTTTGACGTGCAGATCAGTTTGCAGAGCATGCGCATCCTTACCCAAGCGTGGTAACACGCGAGTTGCGACAACTACATCTGCGATGGTTCCACTCCGAGGAGCCTGAGATGAGACTCGTCTTGGCCGAGGCTGGTCTGGATAGCGTTGGGCGAAACCTGATAAAAAAAAGGCGTCTGCTACACATGCCGGGGGCGCAGGGCTTGGGACAAGCTTGGGGCATACTACAATGCCGTCTACCATGCTACCTGGCAAGTTTAATGATCAAGTCGAAAGCGACCTAATGTTCTACAAACAGGAGCATCATGTATTACGCATCGTCGATTGTTGCATTCGGTGCTTCGCTGGATCGAGATACCAGACAAAACTGTGACCAGCATCGTAGATGCGCATTACCAGTGCTGGATGCAATTCGGGCCTGCCAAGTATTATACTCTGACGGAGAAGGTGCCCTCAATAAGAACGCCGCAAAGGCAGTCTGCGAGGCAAAGTGCGCTGAGCTAAGGCTACGTTCGCGTGGACAACGCGCTGCCACTATTGAAGCCAGAAGTGGCATGCTACGACACCTACTTCGCGCTACGGAGGCTGAACTCAATCGGTTAGACATACCAATTGTGCTCGCTCGACTATTGCTTGAGGCTCTGTTTGCCGCCAAGGCGTCTACCTTCCTCAACGAGGTATGTCCATGCAACGCACTGTTTGGCCGACAACCTGCAATGCTAACTGACCTGCCTCTTCTAGATCACGAACAGCAGACGGAGACATCCGATCATATTCGAGGACAGGCCTTTCCGACGGGTGAGCATTGAGGCTATTGCGCAAGCCATTGCAATAGCAAAGACAAGCCGCGCTTTACGGACCAAGACGACCATCACTGGTCAGCATTATTACAACGAAGGAGATCTGTTTGACTATCATCGCCCCATAACCACGAATGACGACCGGGGTGGCTGGACTTGACCCTTTCCGGTCATGCGGAACGATCCTGACAGGGGTCAAGTTATCGTAAGAGTTGGGAAATCGCGACGTACAGGTCCAGACGCGGACGCACGACCATCGCTGTGCATTGAGGCTTTGATCGCTCGAGAGATTCTCTCGCACAACGCAGCATTACGGACTGCTTTAGCATCTATGGCCAGTCTACCTGCGGGGCGACCTGCTATGACCTTCGGATACCTCCCGACCAAAAATGGAGTGCTCCAGATGACGAGCGCGAGCCGAAAATCTCCACGGGTACATTCATTTCTTCTGTGCGTCATTAGGAGCTTCTTCCGCATTGAAAACATGGTTTCTGCTTGGTTTGCTGGGGGCATTCATAAGCTACCTCCGGTAACGTATGCTGACAGTTGTACGCTGGTGCACTATGACTGCGACGTGAACCCCGGCTTCCAATATTTCGAGGCTGACGGCACTGCCGTGAACATTCAAGACATAACTGGATCAGCACACTCTAGAATCACCCAGCGCCTGGAGTCCACCGAACCTCAAGCGGGCTTCGACCCAGATGTGTCGAAGTTCGAAGAATTGGCGCACGCGCCAGCACAAGGCAGTGATGCCAGGGATGCCCCAGAAGCCGAAGCACCACAGGATGGCGGCAGGCTTTCCACAATCTGCGAGGAATCAGAGGCGGACCTCGAGGCACACATGATGGAAGTGTGGTATACAGAACTACAAGACGAAAGGGAACTACAGGAGGCAACTTCAATACAAGAGCTTTATATATTGCACCCAGACATATGATTTCTGATAACAGCGCGCTGGTCACAGTTGCTGAAGAATAGCGGGAGCACCTGCCGGCGCGGGGTAACCCGCGGGGCGTGTGCGCAAACGAGACATAGCATGTCCCATTGTGTTCCACGGGCGAGGATTACAACTGCGGGTTGGACTCTGGCGAGCATGGACGACACGTAGAAGTGTGCTGTACGGGAGAGATGTAAAAGGTAGTCTGCCCGAACAACAACATATAATGTTGGACTTCGACCTTGTCACCACTCTGCGAGTGCATGTGGCCGCTGCAGCTCAACGAGCTGCAGCCGCCAAGGGGGGCGATCTTTTCACGAAGGCAGATATTGAGGCGATTCCAGTCAAGAGATCGAAGGGCCTATACACTGAACTCAAGACATGGTTTGGAAACAAGCGTTACACTATATATATATATAATGATATCCGAGGCGGCAGACATCATGACATCGAGATGCGAATATGCATGGGATCTCGCCAATACCGAAAAGGGCGAGATGGAACGCGCCATCGGATTGCGCTTGGTTCTTCGGGGTTTCATGGACTTCGAAGCCTTCGACGTAGAAAGGTTTTTTTTTTCCGCGGGGGCGGGGCGGCAGCGGAGCCGGCGATTGCTCGCCAGCGCGGCAGCGCGCAGGAGGCAGTGGATCATTGCTTCCCTTGACATAAACATGGCTGTCTTGGAAGACTTTCTTATCAAGAGCTCGCTGCCGCAACGGGTGAACAAGGAACGCGCGGCGCGCTTTGCGTGGCCACCTGGTTCGGCAACTGCGCTCAGATCTCCCCCGGGATTCGGGCGCCACGATGAGTCGAGACACTGTTTGCAGTTCCTTGAACCAGGCGTCGGCACCAAAGATGCACCAAGAGCTTCCTCGCTGAAGCTCTGCAAGACCACGAGAGGCTTTTGACTCAGACCCGCGTCTCACGACGAGGGGTTCGAGGAGAGCCCTGTCCTTCTTACTGCCGGTCACGTCGATGATGTAATCATGGCCTGTGCCGAGGACACCATCGACAAGTGCGTCAAGTGCGTTGGGGATTCAAATGGGAAATCTAAATTCAACAAACACACATATCGAGTGTGCCGTGAGATATGCTGAGGACAGCGACGGCAATGTTGCTCTTGACCAGGACGAACACACAGGGCGGCCCCGTCGGATCCAACATCGCGAGTTCACGGGCGCAGATGCTGAGGCTTGAGCATCGAAGATGGTAGCTGATCTGTTCGTCTGCCTCAGAGGCGCGCTGGCTTACGCCCTTATCACGCAAGTGCGGTTAATGGCATGTGCTGCATCGCTACAGCGCGTCCAAGAACCGACCAATATGCAAGTGCGACGACTTGGCGCGATCGCCAGAAAGTTGCAGGCCTGCCCTAAGAAGAATGTTTACCAACCGACGACGCCAATGGGCGAGGTAGATCTGCTTAGCGACTCCGGCTGCCGCCGCCTGAACAGCGACGCCGACGACGAAGTCGCAGGCCATGGTATGCGCGGGGCAAACCTGCTGAGGCGTGGACGCACGCATGCTGGCAAGCTCGTCGTCCATCTTGTCGACGCGCATTGTAAGTCTCATCGCTCGCAAGTCCGCTCGAGCTACTCAGCGGCGGAAGCACTGGCAGCAACCCGCAACTTGGAGGACTGGTATCCCCCGATGGTCAATCTGCACAAACTCCACGCAGGGCCGCCGGCGCCCACTCCTTGAAGGATATACTTGAGATGGGCGGCCTGAGCATTAAGGTCACTTTGACCATTGTTGCAGAATCCGTCTTCAAGTTCTTGTCAAGTCAAGTCCTGAAGAAGCCGACTGAGTGCACACTTCTTGGGTCGCATCAGTCTGATACGGCAAGTGGTGGAGAGAGGTATCGCGCACTGTGCGCAGTGGTGTTACACTCGCGATATGACCGCGGATGGACACACCAAAGAGAGAGCATCGACGGAGACATGCTCTTACAAGTCATGGGAGGAGTGTAAGCCTTCACGCACGACCTGAAACGACACACTCGCTACAGGGCTGGCCAGACGAGACCATCTGAGCCGCCTGAGGAGTAGTAACCTGCGGGGTAACATGCCTGCGAGGTAACTTGCCTGCGAGGGAAGTTACCTGCGGGTCAACCTGCGTAGGTTGAGGCCGCCTGCTGCTGCCTGCTTTGTGTGCTATAGCTGTTTTGCTGAGTATGGCCTGTAGCGGACTCGCGCTTCGTCTTCTCCCACCCCTATTCTAAAGCAGGCTGGGAAAAAGGCGAGATGTATCGAACGATTGTCCGCGGCCATTTCGGTCCAGTGACCAGCCACCTATTTGGCTGTGCTTCTCTGAGGCGCACTGCCATACGTCGAGACCAAAAATACAGCATCCCTTTCGCTTGAGATGTATCGCCGCTCCCGCGGCTCATTCGTACTTCTGGGACAATCGTTGGTACGGTACAAAAGGGTTAAACGCATGCTTCGCCTTAGGCGAAGCATCTGGTTAGGCCACCCGACCAGTTTCAAATGTGTCCGAGCCTCCGCAATTGTCGTGCCAGTTGTTGGGGTGTTTTTATTCATGGCGTGATGAAGTCAGGGTTCAGTTGGTGTGTTTCCGAAAGTTTCAGGTCGAGGTGGACATGTTTGCGCCGACAATTGAGCGTTGACGCAAGAAGCCGGTGTTGGCCATGATGGGTGACCGACCCAGCGTTGAATGCTATTGTTTGACGGCGCACGTGGATACACTCGATCCCCGTTTGCCATGTCGGTTCCAGCTCGTGATCAGCCTGTTGCCAAGACGCGTGATTTGGTTTCCCTGGCGTGGCGCAGGCTGGATACGCCCACGACAAGACCATCGCAATCTGCAAGGCGCTGTCGTTCTACGTTGATGAAAAGGGCATGCTAGCTTCATTCGCCCACGATGATGCGGAGTGGTTCTTCTGACGTTCCGAACGCATGTGTCCCCCAAGCCGTTCGCATACTCACGCGCGAGACTGAATGCACGCTAGCTTGGTTGTGCAGTTGCTTTGCAGGTCGGGGTCGGTTTCCCCCGATGCTCAGGGGCAACGCTCGGGGGGGAAAGGCTCAGAGGGGGAACGCATCGATCCCCACTCGCCCATTCATCACCAGTAGGGTTTTGAAAGCCCACGCCGTCCCAGGAACTTGTGCCGTCGCAGTCGAGAGCCTGTCGGCGATGCATCGCCGATTCCAGATCAATGTCCCTCTCCCCCCTCCCTGAGCCAACCTCCCCCCGCCCCTTGTATCGTTACCCCTCGGAGACGCACGTGGCCAAGGCCCCACGGAACGCCTGCCCTGGCCTTGTCCAGCCGAAGTGGGGATTGGCGTCGGTTTGCAGCTCGAGCTAGCCCCGCTCCCTCTGCCGCCCGCGAGCACTTTGTCTGGCTCTTCGGTATTGGAGTTGGAATTGTTTGTGTTTGCCTACGATCTGCTCGGCGCGAGTTCGGCGTCGCAAGAAAACCGGATTCCCGACATCGCCGTGAATCGACATCGCCGTTGGCGTGGCCTTGGACAGGCCTGGACCCCCTCCCCGGAGGCCGTTGTTCAACCGACCCAGATTCCTTTTCGATGGCCCTAGTGCCCGACGACCAAAGGCGCCCTCGAGGGCGCGAGGTTATTCGCGCTTCGCGTTTCGCGGTTCGGCTCCGATTCCTCCTCATCCTCTTTTTTCTCCCTTGGGAGGCGGCGCGAGAGCGCGAGGTTCTTCGCGCTTCGCGCAGCGCGAGAGCGCGAAGTTGGGAGCCCCTGTTTTCGATGGCCCTTGTGCCCGACAGCGGACCGGAGGCCGGAGTGGAGGAAGGCCATGTCGTCGGAGCTCTGGCATCTGGGCCCGTGCCTCGCCACCACGGCTGGATGTTCGCCCCGAGGTCCTGGCCAGACCGCGCTCCAGGAGAGCCCCGTGGAGTGGCGGCACGGTCAAGTCGGGCGTGTCCCTCTACAGGAGGAATATTCGAACACATCCAACAAAGCACGCTGGACACGATATTCGGACTATCTTTGAGCATTTGGGGGGCATTTTGTGGGGTATCTTTTATTTGTCACACAAAATCCCCCTGAAGGGGGGCAGGCCCGACCTGACGGTACGGGTATCTCTTGATGGAGCCCGCAGAGCGGGAGTCACGGTGGGCCTCCAGGGTGACGTTCCCCCATGGCTCTCTAAGAGCTGAGTGGGCTGCAGACGAGAAGCCGCCAGCGCAGGGTGGCCGCGGAGCTCTCTCCGGCGCCGGTCGCAGCTTGCTCCGCGAGCGTAGTACGATCGTTTCCAGTACGCGTGCCAGAAGCCTTTCCGCAGCTCCTTCGAAGCTCCTTGGGGGCTCCTGCGCAGGTCCTTTCTCGAGCGTGCAAGCTCCCCAGACATCCTTTCCAGCGTCCTTGCAAGCGTCTCCCAGAGACGTTTTGTGCGCTTAAGACTGCGCCTCTACTCGGGTTTCGGACGACACAAGCTGGCACGCGGATTTTGCAATCCGTGTGTGTTGGGGACACTGCCTCGAGAGGGTCGGGACCAGTCGTTGCAATGTTTCTTGGGGGCGTATTTGCGCCCCGTGGGGGATTGGGCGGTCTTGGAGGCCAGCAAACTGCCGTTTGGGGGTCCATGGGGTACGATGTGCGTGAGGGGTGTGCCGAATTGAGACTCCAAGGAGCCGTCTCGGGGGCCAGCTGAGCGTCCAACCTTCACGAAGTGCGTGAGGGGTGTGTCGACTTGAGGTTCCCATCAAAGTGGAAGGACAATTCACTTGTATTTTTCTTTCTCTCAGGAGCCTCGAGGCTCAAATCACTGATTTTCTATATGTCCCAGGAGCCGGAGAGCGCAGAGCACCTGTATTCCCACGTGTCCCAGTAGAGTTTGGGGCAGGACATGCGTCCGGGGTGTACAGAATTGAGCCCCGCGTGGCCATTGGAAGGCAGATCGCTTGTATTTTTCAAGTGCTCCATGAGAGTGTGGAGAAGGAAATGCGTGAGGGGCGTGCCGAAATGGCCGTGCCTTAGCCACGAAGGCGTTGCTCAATCGCATTTTTACGCGTCCCAATGTCAGACAGGAAGTGCTTGAGATGTGCGCCGAAACGAGGCGTTCGCAGCCCTGAGTGCGCATCTCATTCGTGTTTTTACATGCCCCAGGAGCTTTCACGCGCATGGGCCTGGCCCCAGGGATACGTTTTACTAGTATCTGGATGTGTCCCCGGGAGAATTGATACAATCGGCCGGCGAATTGTGCGAGACCGTTCTTAGCATGTCTTTACGCATGCTTCTCAACATCCTCCATTTCACCTTCATCTCATAATTTCTCTCGAAGCCTGATACGGCGAGGGCTAGCAGGGGGTCCGCCGAATTGAGCCCGCAGAGCTTGAGACATTGCGGCCCTCCCTAGGGGGAAGTTTGCACGCAGATTTTGCAACCAGTGCGTGTGAGGGACAGTTCCTCGTGGAGCCACGAAACGTGTGAGGGATGTGCCGAAATGGGTGCGATGACGGCATGCGAAGCCTGCCGCCGGGGCTTTCCGCGGAGTTCCCTACGGAGCCCCGAAGCATGTGATGGGCAGCCTTCGGTGGGGCTCCCTGTGGGGCCAGGAAGCCCTGCCACTGGGGCATTCGTTGGGACTCCGCGTGGGGCCACGAAGCGAGTGAGGGGCGTGCCGACATGAGTGCGGTCGCGCCATCGAAGCTTGCCGCGGGGGCCTTCGGCGGAGCTCCCGACGGGGCCACGAAGCTCGTGGAGGGGTGTGCTGAAATGGGTGCGCTGGCGCCATGCGAACATTGCAGCTGCGGCCTTCGGTGGAGCTTCCTGCGGGGCCATGGGTCGATGATGATGATGATGATGATGATGATGATGATGATGATGATGATGATGATGATGATGATGATGACGATGACGATGACGATGATGATTCTGATGGTTTTGGAGGTGGTGATGAAGATGATGAAGATGATGATGATGATGATGATGATGATGATGATGATGATGATGATGATGATGATGATGATGATGATGATGATGATGATGATGATGATGATGGTGATGATGATGATGATGATGATGATGCTGATGCTGATGATGATGATGATGATGATGGAGATGAGGAGATGAGGATGATGATGATGATGATGATGATGATGATGATGATGATGATGATGATGATGATGATGATGATGATGATGATGATGATGATGATGATGATGATGATGATGATGATGATGATGATGATGATGATGATGATGATGATGATGATGATGATGATTCAACGGATGATGGTGGTGATGGTGGTGTTGCTGCTGCTGATGACGATGAGGACATGCTAAAGGCCGAGGCAAGGATGTGAGAAGGGAGGATTGCAGCTGGAGGGGAGGAAGGAGACGCGGGGCGCTGTCTCTTCAAAACGAGGGCACAACGCCACCGGATGGTTGGGACCTACAGGACCCAACCGGAGACAAGAGAACCAGCGAGAGTTCTAAATTGCTCCAGTGTGCCACAGGCATTCTGGCTGATGTTTCTGCAATCTATGAGGTTCAGGCGATGCGGTGCAAACCATGCGGTGCAATCCATGGTGTCCAAGTTTGTGTGCGTGCAGTCTCCTTGGGGCCGTCTGGAGGCCTCCTGGGCGCCTTCTCGGGGCCTCTGGGGGCTTCCTTGGGCCACCCTGCTTTCAACCGTTGTCTCCCCGAACGACCAGGTCACGATTTGGAATGCGTCGGGGGGCACATTAGGGCCATCTTGGGCCGTCATGAGGCTCTCTTCGGGCCATCTTGGCACCCTGTTGTGCCGTCTTGGGGTTCTCTTGGGTTACCTGGAAGCCCTTTTCGCATAGTTCAGGAGGGATGTTCGGTCCTCCCGGGCGGTCTCGGACGCCCAGAAGACTGAGAATCTTTCAAAAACCTTGGAGCATCAATGCCTGTCTGCGTTTCGAACGCCTCTGGGGGGTCTTCTGTTGGGTCGTCTTCGGGCGCCTGGTGGGTGTGTGGGGGCCTCCCGGGGGCCATCCGGGGGGCCCTTCGGCCCCCCTCCGGACCCCCACGGGGCCCGCGTTGCCCGTGGGCCCAGCCGGGGAGCCCCGGGAGCCCCGCGATGAGCCCGGGGGGGCCTCCGGAAGGGGCGTCCAGGGGGCCCCTGGGCTGATGGCCCTGGTTTCCACCACCACCACCATAAGTTGGAGGGGGAGGGGGTCGTCCTCCTCCACCACCTCCTTCTCCTCCTCGTCCTCCTCCTCGTCCTCTACCTCCTTCCCCCCTCCAGCTTATGGTGGTGGTGGTGGAAAACAGGCCCATCATGGGCCACGGAATCCCCGGGGGTCCGGTTTTTTTTGTGGGGTCGGGGGCGGAAAAGAGGGGGGTGATGACTAGGGGGGGGTGGATATCATGGCGGGGGCCACGATTTTTCCCCAGATTTCATGGCGCCTCTTCTTGTTTCATTGCGTCCCTGGCCCCCCCGCTGGGTCGCGCACCTGCCGCCGGTCATGATTTGCACCCCCCCCTCTTGGACACCCCCCTCTTGGCCGCTCCCGATTGGGGGGGGGGCCTTTTTTCCCGTCCCCCCCAGCTTGTAGAGCTGAAGGGTGGTCGTATAGGTATATGCGTCGTGGCGGGTTCTTTCTGGCCGCGCTGCTCGGGGAACGATCCACTACAAGATGGGTAATCATACTACGTGTTCGGGTCGGACGCGCGCCTCCAAGGAGAACATCTAGCCAGAGCTTGGGGGGTGAGATCGCAGTGGAACGGAGACCCCCTACCGGGAAATCGTTCCGTTTCGCTCGTGTCGTGCGTGCGGGGGGGCGACGCTGCGTGCGCGCGAGAGGAAGGAACCCGCCGTTGCTAGGGCGAAGTCAAGATAAATGATTCTCCTGCGCCCGCCCTTCCCGGCGG